CCAAGTGAGAAAGATCTTTTTTGTTTTCAAACGGGTTGAAGTTACTCGCTCCAACATGACGCCCGGGCAGAGTTGGGAAAAGATTTCTCCGTCCGAGGCTTCCGAAGTCCCACAGCTTACCGTAGAGCAGTCAGGGTTGAGAAGATCGTGCTTGGTGGAGTCACGAAGAATTTCTGCTTCTTGGAACAAGTTAATCACTTTCTTCCACCCCCACCCTCACAGCCCAGGAATCCGCACCGAGCAGGCAGGAGCTCAGTTTTAAGCGAACTGATTTGCAAAAATGGCAGCTGTTCTTCTTGAAGTCACATTATAGTTTAAAAGTTCTATAGGCATTGAAATTTCACTACAGAAAGCTGAATTCACACTAAAAAAAAAAAAGTTGAGGAATGCGTTCAGAATTCCAATTTAATCCCCAAGTTAAAATTGCTTACTGCACTCCCAAATAGCACACACAAGTAGCGAGCGTGTATGTATACAGGTGCCCTTCATTTAAGCTTTTGTTTGAAAAGTATTTCATTTTCATTCGACAAAGGTACAATTAGACTTTCTGGCTTGTCTGTTTTGTTGGCAGAATAGAGGTGGTTTTGGTGATGAAAGATGTATTTACATTGTTATCTAAAATTTTTGGAGGGAGCAGATACGCAAAGATAAGACTAGAAGGTCCTCTCCCTGAGAAATCGAAAGTCATTTCCTCAGCAAGGGCCTGTAATTGACAAAGAACTCTATCCATAGCGGAACTGGGGCTGATTTTCTCCCAGGGAAGGGAAGCGGAGGGTTTTTTAGAAAACTCTGTTCCAAACAAAATCTGGCATTTATACAAACATATGCAAAGTGAAAAGCTTAAAACAATCTTTCAAAATCTTTCTTATAAAACAACAAAAAAAACTCATGAAAAATTCCTCTCAATTTAATGTTTTCTGGGACTGACCCACCTAGTTAACATTTCTTTAAAAGTGTAAAGTTTAGTCACCCTTTCCACAAAACGCTACTACCTCTAGATTGCTAAAATATTTTACATAGTTTTCTAACATCCCTCAGCCAAAAAACCAAACCAAAATACATATACATCACCACCATTACCAACAGCAAAATAACAAAACCTATTTAGTGCTGCTGCTGAAAAAATTTTTCTTCCCCCACTTTTTTTTTTGGGGGGGGGGTGTAAGATATCACTGAAGATGTAATTTATAGGAGAGCAGTAAAAAATGGAAAAAAAATTCACCTGAAATGTTCTATCGTTTTGGTGTGTGATTTCATCCCAGGATGGTTTTTCAAACTTTAATAGAAAATCAGTTTTGATTGTGGTGTTATATCTAGATTAGAAAGCCACAGACAACTTTCAACTTCTTTGTGGCCTTGGTTACATAATTAAATGGCTATTTGAATAGTTGAGAGGTAACATCATAAACAATGGCATATATAACTAAAATGATGGCTTATCTGCCTATATTTACATGTGTATTAAGCGGTTTTGTGCAGACAATGCTAAATTATGGTGACAATTTGCAATTTTTAAAGAATCGTCACATTTTTATTGGATAATGTATTTATTATAGTGAATAGCACATGGCTTTTCTCCAGAAAAAGTATAACTTTATTTATCATTTATGCATCTACATAACCCTTCTCCCTCACAAAATACGCCACCATTTATTTTACTGTGATATTTACTCATACGTGGGAGGAGGAGGAGGGGTTACATAAATATATAATGTGGCAAAAGCTAAGGAGGCAGGTACACTCGATTAAAATAAAACGAAACGCTTCCATGGATGCAATGATATTTACTTTATCTGACAGTAATTAGCTAAACTGCCTGGAACGAAAACCTATTATTAGTTGAGCACAGCTCGAGGATTTCAAAGATCCTCTTCTCAGACAAGAGAATCTAAATGTCCCAGAACGCGATAGTAACTGGATACACGTTGGAAGCAGATTTACGTTCAGATAAGTGACTTCCAAGAATCGACCGATGCTGTGGTGGAACTACCGCGCTAGCGTTTCCCTCCCCGACAGCTCGAACAAGCTCAGGGTGGTTGGGGTGGAAGTTTGCGGGTGCGCCCAGGGCAGGTTGCCCAGATGGGATTGATCTAGCTGGGATCCTTGCTGGGAAGAACCTCTTCGGGGCGGGGTGAGGGGGTGGGGGTTTGGGGGGAAGGGTGGGGAACCAGACAGACCAAAGGGACCTTGAACAACCAAGAAAGGACAGCTGGAGAGGACCCGAGCCTCCAGGCCAGGCATGAGACTAAAATCAGCTCTAGATTGCAGGTAGTAAATCTCCCGCGCTAGATCAGCCTTGCGCACGATTGGTAATGTGAGGAGCAAAGAGGGACAAGGCACAGAAACACCCGCTGGACCCCTTCACCTGGGCTCTCCTAGCTCGGCGTCCTCACCGGTCTTTTGCTCGCGGGCCTGAGCTGCGTTTTGGGCCGGCCTACCCCGGAGCAACCTTGTCAAGGGCAACCGGAGAGAACCGCTTAGGCCTGGCTCAAAAATACCAGGAGGGGTGGTAGTGGCAGCGGGCTGGGGGTAGGTCACACCGAGTGCGCCTTCTCTGAGGGCTCTGAGAGAGGGCGACCAGGTGGACTCCCGGGGCAGCAGCGGGTGAGTGGGCGTGTCCCGGTGTTCCGGGAGCCCAGACCACTGGTTCTAAAATGGGAGATTTTGGGGATGGGCTTAGGGAAGGCCTAGGAGCTCAGCGCCGCGGAGAAGCAAGAAACGCAGGCTCCTCTTGGAAGCTCGGGAGAGAGGTAGTTTCTGTAACTGTTGTCTTTTTTTCTGAATCTGAAAATCACGGAAAAATTGGGGGCCAGAAATATTTATTCCTCCTGAAGATCTTGCCTTGGGGGTGGGGAGGAGGGTCTGGGGGCACAGTTTCCTTCTTTTATGCCTTGCCACCGCGACGCACACATTCCAGGACCCCTACCCCGCAGTGCGGAACACTCACCCCCACCTCTTTCTGGATCTTTGTGGCCAAGCTCTCCGGATCCGCCGCAAAACCAGGCGCATTCTTCTCTCTGCAGTGTGGTGGCCTGGTTTGAAGACATGGGCCCCGCCTGGGGCGTCGGTAATCTCAGGATTCAAAGCAGAAATGCCCCAGACTCCCCAGAGACTGAAGGATGGTCGCCCCGACTCAAGATCCTGCCCACAGTGGTTCTCCCCTACCGCTTGCGGGCGGCCACCACCACCCTAAGTACTCGCGGGCGCACGTGGCCTGCGCCGCATCTTCGCTCCCCGGGCGGCCCCCTGGGCAGTCTCCCCGCACCATTTCCGCTCCCTCCTGAACAGCCCCGCCTCTCCCCCTCCCGGCCACTTTTTTTCCTCTCTCTCTTCACGGCATTAAGCACCCATTTCTCCCACTGTTGCGCGTGCCAGCACCGCAGCTCTCCACTCCCGCGTGTCTGCCACCACCCGGGGGCGGTGTCCACAGTCACGGTACCTTCCACTCTCCCCTCCCATCTGGAGCGGGTCTCCCCAGTTCCACCATCTTGGCCGCACAAAAATATTTCGGGAAGTTAGCACCAGGTGATGGGCACCGTTGTTTGGTCGGAACTAGTGTTTTGAAGGTCGGTGCCACAAACAGGTCTTCTGCTGGTTTCCCGGTTACACCTGTTGCCCCTCAATAGACTAGGGATGGTGGTGGCGTGAGGCATGTTGTGTCTGGGGAACATGACCCCCCCACCCGTACGGAGTTTCTGGAATATAAAAGACCCCATGGATTCTCGGGGAACGCATGCAGGAACTCAGGAGGGTGGGTTGGAGAAATTAGAAAGATGTTGGGGGAAGTCAAGGCCTGGACCCAGGTGCCCCATTTCAATAGGCGGAAAAAAACCTCCATGACTGAGTCACCTCCGTTGTTAGGACAAATCCTGCTCCCAAAACTGTACGAAAACACCCAATGTGTGCAACACTCCAGCCCCGTCATCACCGATGCAGTCAACAAACACTGCTTGACCTCTGATGCAGAATAGCAGTGGGTGATATGTATGGAGCATGTCACATGTGCAGGGCCCTGCCCTAAGCTCCTAGCATGTTTTGCCTCATTTATCCCTGGCAACAACCTGAAGAAGGTATTACTGTCTCCCTTTTGTAGACAAAGAAACTGAGGCTTACAAAAGCCCATGGCCACATATTAACCAGGCCACGATTGGAACCAAGAGCTGTCAGACCACAAAGCTCATTTATAACCTCACCGGCCTGTCTCTCACATACCTGCTTAGTGCAGCTGCTTCTAGGCTACAGGGGCAAAAGCAACCGGGATCCTGCCCTAGTATAGAGTGGCGAGGAGTCTACCTGGAGAGGCCAGGCAGTCAGTATAGCTGTAGAACTAGCTGGGAAATGATAGGGACTCGAATGTCCTTTCACTAACACGCGCTGCAATTTCAGGCTCGGGAGAGATGCCTTCCGGCTGGGCGGTCAAGGGAGTGCTTCCTTGGAGGTGGAGGTATTTGAGCAGAGCCTTGAAGAAAGCTTTCGCCTGCATGGAGAGAGGTGGGGAACACGTTTCGAGTGGAGGGAACAGCTTGAGCAAAATCAACAGGGCGAAACGGACACGTCGCCCGACCGAGCCTATGTAAAACATTCCAACTCCTGGAGGATCCAGCGCCCGGTATTTACAAGCCAGGAAGTTTTCCTGCCCCCGCAACAGCTGGAAAAACCGCTCTCCTGGGCTCTCCTTCCCGGCCATTGGCTCGCAGACAGGAAGCCTCCCAGGGCTGGCTCAGGCCGGGCCGGGGCGGCCAGCGGAGGGGTCCTCGGTGGTCCGGGCGCGCGGGGCACGGCAGCCTCGTCCACGGCGCCTTGGCCGTGGCCCCGCGGTCCTCGTCCTGGGCTATTTCTGGCCGCGCCGCTGCACCCGCTCGGAGGATGCGGGGGGCGTGGCCCGCGGGAGCCAGAGCCAATAGGGAAGGAGGCCGGGCGGGAGCCCCGCCCCCGGCGTGACGCACGACCCGCGGACACAGGCTCCGCGGCCCCGGCCCCAGTCCCTGCAGTGGCTGTAACAAAACCCAGACCCCCGGGTCCGGGCCAATGGAGGCGATTTAGACTGGAGCGGGACCGCGTCTGTCAAAGCCCTCGGCGGCTGCAGCGGCGGAGTCCAGAAGGAGAGCTGGAGGCCAGGCGCTGCCTCCCGCCCCCGCCGGGATTTATTGAGTATTTGGACTGGACAATTAAGTGGCCCTGATGATGTTACCAAGCCCGGTCACCTCCACCCCTTTCTCAGTCAAAGACATTTTGAATCTGGAGCAGCAGCAGCAACAGCACTTCCACGGCGCGCACTTGCAGGCGGACTTGGAGCACCACTTCCACGCGGCGCCCTGCATGCTGGCCGCCGCCGAGGGCACGCAATTTTCTGACCGAGGGGAGGAGGAAGAGGAGGAACAGGGAGAGAAATTGTCCTATTTGGACTCACTAGCTGCAGCCGATGACCACGGGGACTCGGGACTCTGTCCCCAGAGCTATGTTAACACGGTCCTGCGAGACTCCTGCAGTGGGCCCAAGGAACATGAGGAGGACCCCGAGGTCGTGAGGGACCGGAGCCAAAGTGAGTAGCGGGGGGAGAGGAAACGCACCCCTACACCTGGAGAAATGGCGGAGCGCCCGCAAAACAGCCCTCAAACTTTGCCGGCGGGCTGTCGCCCCTTTAACCTGTGGCTGGGGTCCTGCTTCCGTCCTGGTCAACAACAGCTCCGCCAAGCGCAGGTGCCTGCCAGGGAGCCGGGGTGGAGGGAGCAGGACGAGGTGACCCCTGACAACTACTCCCCCCGAACGGGGGAGACGCTGCAGCCTCCGAGGGAAGGGGAAATAGTTATTGCTGCTGCTGGTGATCAGGCACAGGGGCTTAGCTGCTGGATCCCTACAACTCGCAGTATTTTTTTGCTCTTCCCAAGAGCTAGAGGGACAGGAGCCGGAACCTTTTCCACTTTCTTCCTAGCATGACTTCTCTGAGACCAGGGCGGCCATCCCCTCTTCTCTGAGGGGGAAAAAAAAAAAAAAGGTGCAAGCTGGTTGTCCGCAAGCTGGTTGTCGCCGGCGTCCGCAGGGCTCAGGAACTTTGGTAGAGACCAGCTGGGCGGTTTCCTCACTTCTTTGCTTGGAGCTCAGCTTCCTCGCACTTTGGTGGCCGTCAGAGTGGGAGGGGGTTGTCGTAAAGTGCGAGGGACACAGCCCGTTCCCTGCGAGCGCGGTACTCACACCCCCGAGGCGCCAGCCTTTAACAAAAATCGTAACGTTTTGCTTTGTGTCCCAGGCGTGAGGCTGAAGGCCAAGTGAAAAATGCGCCGAACTTAGGTCCGATGTCCTCGCCACTCACATCCAACGGGAAGTGAATTGAGAAGGGAAATCAGATAACTGAATAAGGCTCCAGGGGAAGTGTTTGTTTCTGAGGGGACAAAGGCAAAGAATTTTTCTCCTAGAGGTGGTTCGATGTAGTGGAAGTCAAGGCCTGATCTCTGACAGCTCCCCGGGGCCTAACATCGACCTGAAACTGTCCAAATTTGTCAGTCAGTCCATCAGATTTCTTTTTCTTTCTAAGGTAACACAGTCATCATCATCACACTGACATTTAGCTGTGGGTGTGCAGTCTTTTAAAAGCAAAAAATAGTCCCTAAGCAATACAGTTACATTCAGCCGTTTCCGAACAGAAAGATTTTTTGCGCAACCCACCAGGCATACCGGTCCCCAAATACCCACACGCTTCACACCTTCAGCCATCAGTGGCCGAGTGGAAGGCAAACGAGCTTGCAAATACTGTAGTTACTTTGTAGCTGCAAACTTTCATCCTGAAAATAGTCATTACACGCCAAGCCGAGCCGCGCGTTTAATGCAGGGTAATCTCCACTCTCGCAGATGCTCAAGTTGTAAATAAAGCGCACTAACTACCCCTCCCCATGGACCGCGCCCCTGCCCGCCGCGGGCGACCTCAGGGTACTTGGGGTGTCGCAGGGTCCCATGGCTCCAGGAACCACGTTGAAGTTTCCAAAATGCCCAGGCGTTTACTACCGCAGCCACCGCTCCCCGCAGTCACCGACCGAGGCCAAGGTTCTTCGGGGCCAGAGGCGCGTTGAGGCCGGGAACAGTGACGGGACGCTGTTGTTTTGCTTCTTCCGCAGAAAGCTGTCAGCTGAAGAAGCCTCTGGAGGTGGCGGGAGACTGTAAGGCGGCCGAGGAGAGCGAGAAGCCGAAGCCGCGCAGTCGCCGGAAGCCCCGGGTCCTCTTCTCCCAAGCCCAGGTCTTCGAGCTGGAGCGCAGGTTCAAGCAGCAGCGGTACCTGTCGGCGCCCGAGCGCGAGCACCTCGCCAGCAGCCTGAAGCTCACGTCCACGCAGGTGAAGATCTGGTTCCAGAATCGCAGGTACAAGTGCAAGAGACAGCGGCAGGACAAGTCCCTGGAGCTGGGCGCACACGCGCCCCCGCCCCCGCCGCGCCGCGTGGCCGTGCCGGTGCTGGTGCGGGACGGCAAGCCGTGCGTCGCGCCGGGCGCGCAGCCCTACGGGGCGCCCTACAGCGTGGGCGCGGGCGCCTACTCCTACAACAGCTTCCCGGCCTACGGCTACGGGAACTCGGCCGCGGCCGCCGCGGCTGCGGCCGCCGCTGCTGCAGCCGCCGCGGCCTACAGCGGCAGCTACGGCTGCGCGTACCCGGCGGCCAGCGCCGGCGGCGGCAGCAGCGGGGCCTCGGCGGCGGCAGCAGCCATGCAGCCGGCCTGCAGCGCGGCCGGAGGTGGCCCCTTTATGAACGTGAGCAACCTGGGCGGCTTCGGCGGGGGTGGCGGGGCGCAGCCGTTGCACCAGGGTGCCTCGGCCGGGGCCGCGTGCGCGCAGGGCACCTTGCAGGGCATTCGGGCCTGGTAGGGACGGGGCGGGTCCTGCGGCTGGCGCCCCGCTGCAGCCCGGCGCCGCGGGACTGGTGGATGCTCGAGAAAGGCTGGATCCAAGAGCCAAGTCCCCTCGTTAAAAAAAATAAAGAACCCAGGTCCTGATCCCCAGCGTCCCGGAGCACAGCTCGAGCGAGGAGCTCTGGGGCTCTCGAGCACAGCTCTGGGTTGAGGAGGAGGCCGGGGTCCAGCTGCGGAGACTGTCTCTGAGACAGGGAAATGCCTGCTCGGCGCTGGGGAGGACTGTGGCCCCGACCCTGGCCCCGGGGGACGTGCGAGACGCTGGAACTCTGGCTGCTGTTTCGTTTCCCAGAGTGACGCGGCTTCTCTACTGCGGCCTCCGCGAAGCGTTGGCAGAGCACCCAAGGACAAAAATTAAAAGAAAGAAAGAAAGAAAGAAAAACCATGAAGGAGAAAAAAATGGGGGTTGTGGCTTGAGAAATCGCTAGACCCTACCCACCCCCTGCCCCCTTCGCGGGCCCGGAGCACGACACCACTGTGGGTTTTTCTTTTCCCAACCGCCTGCTCTCTGCAGCAGACACCTTGGCCGGGGGCGCCGGGTTGTCAGGGGGCGCGGTGCCCTTTTTCTCTGCGAGAAAACCAGCGGAGCAAGAACAAAAGTTGTGGGGTGGGGGGACTGAACAAATCCGGGACCTGGTGGCCCACCGGAGGTGCTACCGGGTTTCCTTTCTGTTTCATATTCTGTATTCAGCACAAATAATATATATAACTATATCCACACGCCGTGTACACACCCGCTGTCATACACCACAGGAGTCAATAAACAAGGTGCAATATTTCCAAACCATTGGCCGCCTGCAGACTCTGTTTAGGTCCCCCCAAGTAAGGTGGGATCCTTCAAACATCGGAGAGGGAAGGAAAAGTTGCTTAGGGGAAAGCGGTCTTTCCTGGACCATCACAGGCCTGGTCTCCCCTGAGCCAGGCCCGGGGCTGCCAGTCCCTTCTCTCCATGGCTTTGTTCATTAATTTCTCTTTACTTTACTAGGGCGGACAGGTCCGAGGCGCAGAGACTTTCGAGATCCCGAGCTTTACCTTCCCTTGCTCGCTCCACCCCTCCCCGCACCACCGAGCTGAACCCCGAAGCTGGGCGGGCCGCGTTTGGGCCTGCGTTAGCTCAAGGCTGAGACTGCCCCACCTCGAGGGTCTCCCGGCCACAGCAAACCTCGCCCCCGGGCCCAACCCTGGGCGGCGCTAAGGCGGCTCCTTTCTCGGCCGCCGCCCGAGCTTCCAGCGCGCCCGGGGGCGCGGCGCTGCGCCCCGCCGCGGCGGAGCCTCCCCCTCGGCCGCCCTCCCTTCTCCCCCGGCGGCCGCGGCTTTATGCGGCCCCTGTCACTCGCGGAGAATGCCTGTGCGGGGCCGGCGCTGCCACACGGCCGATTGTGAGCGTGCCAAGGCGGGTGAATGGGGAGGCCTCAGCGCGCCGTGCCATTGTGGGGCCGGGCCTCGCTGAAAGGCGGCTCCGGGCCGGGAAGGTGCGGAAAGAATGGCTTTTTATTGGAGTCCCGAACAAAAGGTGTGGTAGGAAGGCGAAGTCCCCTGCGCGAACAAAAACCCCAGCGCGTCGGGATTGACGTCCCCCCCGAGCTCCCTATTGCTTCCCAGAGCGGGGGCTTTGTGCAGCAGTCTGCTCCACAGAGGGACGGAGCAATGCGCTGGGGTTTTGTTCCCCACTTTTTGTGCGCTGGGGGAGGGGGCGGCCCGGGGACACGGGGGCTGGGCGGGCGGCAGGGAGGGGCGCGCTGATTAGGCCGGGCGGGCGGCGGCGCGGAGACGGGCAGCGGGAGGCGGCGGCGTGAATGCAGGGTCATTATTGCTACAAGTTTAGCAATTTCGCCCTGGCAGGAGGGGGCGGGGGCCGCTCGGCCGCTGCTGGGCCGCCCGGCTGCGGAGCTGCAGAGACCTGCAGGAGCGGGAAGAAAAAGGAGGCGAGGCAGGGAGGGCGGCAGGGGAGGGAATCCTCCAAAGCCGGCTGACCGCCCAGGATGAGGCTTGGACACATCCAAAAGGGCCTAGCGGGAGGCCAGAGAGGCGGCGCTGGGGGGCAAAGACTCGCCCTCCCCTCGCCTCTCTGGAGGCCGGAGGAGCCTGGAGGCTGGCGTGAGTGCTCCAGACTGCGGTTTTCCCTTAGCTCCTCACCGCCGGTTTCCTGTTCTCCCAAGCTTCCCAGCCCCCCTCCTAGCAAACCCTCTCTTCTGGGGCTGTAATACTCCTGGACTTGCTTAGGCCAAGGACTGGAGCGGGGCTGGTGGTGGGATTCTCGCTTCCTAACGTGTGCCTCACTGCCTGCAGCCGCTGAAGACATACCCATTCATTCTTTCACCGAGTCTTTCATTCAACCATATTTACTGAGCACCTACTAATATATGCTCGCCTGCTCTTTTCTAGGTGCTTGGGGGAGAGTGTCTGCAGGTTTATGTAATTTATTTTCGTGCTTGTGTGTGGGAGGGTGTGGGCCACGAATAACGCACAAATGAATAATTTCTAAAAAGGAAATATAAGCAAGGAGGGGGGCTTTTGAAGTAGGTGACCAGGGGAAGCCACGTGGAGGTTACATTTAAGCTAATGCCACAATGACAAAAAGGAAATCAGTCCAAACAGCACTTCGCTGTTGCAGCCTCCTTGCCTCTGCATGGGGAATGCCCTCTCACCCCCAGCTCTCTGGTGAACTCTTGCTCCTCCTTCAAGGCCAAGCTTCTTTCCTGAACCACCCAAATGGAGGTAATCACTCCTCATATGTGCCAGAGTCTTAGGTACTTTCCAGTATCACAACATAGTGTCTGCAATGATTTATTTATCCCTCTCCCTCCACCTGAGGTCATAGTGAGGTTGCGGGGGAACCAGGTTGGCTTCCTTTCCCTCTGGGAGATAGCACAGTAGGAGCTTACTGGGCGAGGCTGCTTTTGGGATGCTCCAGGGCCATGTTGATGAACCTGGTGGTGTAACATGTGAGCCTAGATGCTGGCTGAAAAGGGAGATGCCCAGGGGGACTCTTGGCCCACCTGGGTGAAGTCAGGGCACCTGAAATGACCCATGGAAGAGGTGCCACCCTTTCTGATCCCATAGGAAGGTCCCACCATCCCACCTTGTCCCTTGGGGACACTATCCTCAAGGAATTGTTGTTCCTTGCCCTACAGATCAAAACTTAGGATGAGAACTTTGTGAAGACCTTGCTACTAGGACACAAAGTTTAGGGGTTTGGGGGGAGGGACACAGGGTTAGGGGAGTGAGGACTCAGGCTTAGTGGAGGTGGAAAGCTGGGATGTATAAGAAAAACCCAGGACTTGCCTCTGGGACCCAATTTGACTTCACCTACATTCACTGGGAATATGGTGGTGAGAAAGACACCGCCCTGCACTTGGGAGCACTCAGTTCCAGGGCTGGATGCCTAGCCCCTGCGTGCTAAGAATCCAAGGCTCTAGGAGCTGACACCCTCGCTCTGAGGGTTTCCTCTGTAAGCAGCTCCTTTGATCCCAACCTACTCTGTATCCTGCTGGGTCATGACCTCAGTGCTCCCAACACCAGGTCCCTGCCTTCCTTCTGTCCATCCTTACTCCTCCTTCACTCTGCATCCTCTCCTGTTCTGGAAAAGAGACATCTGACCCTCAAGGAGGAAACAGAGCTGTTTCTGTGGATTGGCTTCCGAGCAGTTTGCGTGTCTTGAGATACGTAGTCAGCCTGGACCACCCCCTTGCTGCTCCTACCCTTCCCCAGAGTCTGCAGTTTCTGGGTATAAATAGCTCCCATCTCTTCTCTGAGGGATTTCCGGACAGCTCTTTGCTGGGTACCAAGGCTCTGATCATTGGAGGGTGAAAAACCCTTGGCCGACACAGCCACCTCTTCAGGGCACTTGAGCCCACTCTCCAGGGCAAAGATCCCTTCCCAGATCCAGGCTGCTGCGTCACTGGATTGCCCTGCGGACCAGGAGGAGTGGCAAAATCAAGGCAGAATTTCCAATGGCCTGTAAGATGAGCAGGTGAAGGAAGTTATCCCTCTGGCTTCAAGTTTCTGAGTTTTAAGGCAGAGAGGACAGTATTATTTCAGAAGTCACTTCTGGCTCAAACCTTCCTTGCGACCCTGAATGAGTGGATAATCCCTCCCACCAAGTGACTGGCACGACATTGGAATCAAGAGGTGGGTAGGTTTCACAGGTGGAGTAGGTGGCACAGGTTCTAGAAGACAGACATTTTCTTTTTAAAAAAGAATTTAAATGTTGGGCTTACATTTTTTGCTCTTACCTATGTGCACATGCTCCACTTGTTATCTGGAAACATTTCTTTGTGCAGTCTAATTTTGAGGGGTTAAGAGACTGGACTCCGAAGTCAGGTTGCCCCACTCTCACCTCAGCGCCCCTGCACCGGCGGTGGAGACTAACTAGAGTAAGTTAGTCGCACTCGGAACCTCAGTTTCCTCGTCTTTAAAACGGGCGCGCTTATTGCACCTCTCTCACGGGTTTCTTTTTTTAAACCTACAGCAAAGCGCACAGATATTAAGTGTCCCGCTCACTGAATGCTTATACATACAGACACTCGTGCACCAGTCACCGAGGCTTTGAAAATTCAATGAGATGAATCGTGTGAGGGCGGCTTAGCGCAAAGGCTGGCGCACAAGTGCATCTTGCTACTGGCCATACTAAGAAGCCTACGAGTCTATTCTGCCCGTGAGACACTCCCAGGCCTGCTGGGTTTGGGGGGCTCTGGGGAGCAGAGGGGCCCACGGGCGGGTGGAAACCCCAGTCGCGTGGGCGGGCGCGCGTCACCCAGAGGCGGGTCGGAGCCGGGGCTGGCAAGCCCGGAGCAGGCAGGGCGGGCGGGGCCTGCCCGGCTCCCAGCGCTTCGCTGAGGCTGGGATGGGCCTCGGTTGAATCAGGGGCATTCGACCGAGGACGTGAAAGGAGGTTCAGGGGAGCCTGCGGCCCCCTGTAGCCCAGCACCACGGGGAACAGAGTCGGTGGCTGCG